CTAACTGGCTCTGCCTCTGCCCCACCACAATGGCTTTGTCTGGAAGGAGGTCCAGAAGGTCTCCAGAAGTTCTCCTGGTCTAATTAGCATATTACTCTTTTATTAGTATAGATGTTATTCCAATAAATTTAATAAAAATTGTCTGCAAATTATGCTTACACTGGAAGTGAACCACTTATCAATTTTATTTTAATCATCACTATTGGTGTTCCTGTAGGTGTAAAATTTGGCTTCCACACTGTCAGCATTTCTTGGGGGCCAGACTTCAGAGACTTCATAGATAGTTCTGAGGTCTTGGGCCTTGCTCTGAAGTCACTGGCTGCCCAAGTTATCGAGGTGGTGAATTTTTCTATATCGTCTTGGTCTTTTTCTGAATCATTTTTATTCAGTTCCTCACTTGTTTATTTATTTATTTTTTTCTAAATGAAAACAGAAAAAATGATTAGACTCATAGACTCTTAAATTTAAAAATTTCACATTTTAGCGTACTAGATGTTTCCTGCATGGTTTGTCTCCTCAGTCATCGTCCACAGGACTCTGAGAAGCTGTAGGAATATGCAGGTGCAGACTCTAGGCCTCTAGCATAGTAGCAGGTGCATATTTGGCATTCAGTGATTGCATGTGAAATTTACTGCAACCACATTTTAGCGTACTAGATGTTTCCTGCATGGTTTGTCTCCTCAGTCATCGTCCACAGGACTCTGAGAAGCTGTAGGAATATGCAGGTGCAGACTCTAGGCCCGGCTTTCTCTCCAACGTTGTGGAAAGGGACTGTACATCACGGGGCAGAGCCCTCCACTCCCCTACGCCACCTGGACAGAGCCCGGGGAGTGACCTCCCGGGGTATCCACGTTGGGCAGTTCCTCATTTGGTCTGTGATCATGGCCACATATTGTTGGCTTTATAGCTTTCGTAGGTTTTCTTGAAGGGGTAGGAATTTTGGGGAAGGCTCCTTTCCTTGAACTTAAAGACATCTTTTCACCCCCATGGATGTCTTTAGTACCTGGAAGGACAACAGAGTGATCGTAGAAGGACATTGATTTGTGGGGAAATTGCTGGGATAAAGGGAAAAAAGTCTTCATGAGAAAAAGTATGGGTTGAGGATGGAATCTGCCAGGCAAGACCAGGGAGTCTTGGGGATATGCCACTAAAGAAGAGGAGGAGGAGAGGTTTGGGTGTGGCCCTTTCATCCTGGACACTGGACCTGGGTTAACGGCTTCTTCCTCTTTTACCTTCTTTTGATGACTGGGGCTGGTTGTTACATAACTGTGCTAGGAGTTTGTGGTTTCCTGGTCATCTTCACCGTGTCAAAATGTCCTATGGCCTTACCCCAGGCCTCCTGAACATATGCTTTTCTCTAGGACAATGAGGGGCCACAAACCCTAGGCCAGTGATGGCGAACCTATGACACGCGTGTCAGAGGTGACACGTGAACTCATATTTTTGGTTGATTTTTTTTGTTAAATGGCATTTAAATATATAAAATAAATATCAAAAATATAAGTCTTTGTTTTACTATGGTTGCAAATATCAAAAAATTTCTATATGTGACACGGCACCAGAGTTAAGTTAGGATTTTTTGAAAATGCTGACACGCTGAGTTCAAAAGGTTCGCCATCACTGTCCTAGGCCAATGGTTCTCAACCTTCTGGCCCTTTAAATACAGTTCCTCATGTTGTGACCCAACCATAAAATGATTTTCGTTGCTACTTCATAACTGTAATGTTGCTAATGCTATGAATTGTAATGTAAATATCTGATATGCAGGATGGTCTTAGGTGACCTCTGTGAAAGGGTTGTTCGACCGCCAAAGGGGCCGCGACCCACAGGTTGAGAACCGCTGCCCTAGGCTTTAATTAATCAGGAAGCCTCTCCACCAGTTAATGGTAGCTCTGGGAGAGAAACTTAGACATCATACAGCACCACCCTGACACTTCCATGGGGAGGGTGGGGCGGCCGAGATGCTTTGGTAGAGAAAGGGGGCATTGCTTTGGCACTCCTAGGCCTTCTCAAACTTACTGACCCCATGTTCAGTTCTGATGGGTCACATGGTAGGGAGATGATGCTTCCTCCAAACGTTTCCCTAGGCCACCCATTTCAGTGGTTCATTGTTCGTTCTCATCCTTCACCACTAGCTAGTTTTCATAAGATTTACCTAACATCTTTTCAAGGTAATGTGACTGTCTCTCTGGAGATGTGATTCACCCTGCTTCCCTAGTACAGGTCGCTCTTATGCACCTTGAAACCATTCACTTCTTGGCTACTGCCAGAGAACTGTCCCATCTCGACCCCTTTCCCACGGTCCCCGTGGCTCTCCCCAGCTTTCTGCTTTAAGGCTGGAATCACTGCCTTTGGCTGTCTTTAACGAATAGAGTTGCTCAACTGGTTATCTTAGCTTTGTTTAAAATCTTGGGGGTGATCATAGTAGGTATAGTATCTAGATTTGGGGCTTAACAGTATAAGGTGAATGAGGCAGGAATTTAAATTCCCAAAGTTGGGCTTCCTGTTTGTATGTTGCAAACCACATCCCCACCAGCTCCACCTCCGCAGGGAACTCGGGTAGTCAGACCCTTGGTCGGAGGATTGCAGACCCAGGTTCTGAGGACAGGAGGTCCAGGCCCGGTCAAAGTATGGATCAGAGGCAGGGCTACAGGACCCTACAGAATCCATCTCAGCCCCTGCCATCAGGCTTTGGAATTGCTGGGCTTGGTACCGGATGTGAGGTACACCGACTTCCTGCAGAGGACTCAGGGCAGTGAGGCCTTGTTCTGAGGAGTCCGGCCTTGGGTCAACATAGGGAGGATCCCAGGACCTGCCAGGGCTCAAGGTGAGGAACATGAGGGAGGGTGGGACCCTGGACCCTAGAACAGAATCATCCCACCCAGGGCGGGATGACGACAACAGGCAATTTCTGCATCTGGGTCTCAGAGACTTGGGGGCTTTGGTATAGGGAGCAGGACCTCAGATACTCAGAGAACCGGCCCAAGTTCTGCCAGAGTCAACATTAGGATGTAACAACCCTGAATCATGTAACAGAGGGGACGCCACAGAAGCCCACCCTTGCTGTCAGCCCTGGGAATCCCCAGGGCGGGATGACCACATGTAGTGTTTCCTGACTTCCACAAAGGGGTCTGAGAGATCCTGGGAATGTGGTATCAGGAAAAGGGCCTCTGGTTCACAGAGGGGAGGGCCCAGGTCCTGTTGGAGTCAACCGCCGAGTCAGCGGGCTGCCCAGGCTGGAGGCTAATGACTTTGCCGCACCCGCCTCGGCTCCCCGCCCTCCCCTCCCCGCCTGGTGTTCGGTTGAGCCTTTGGTCGTTTTGGACTTTACGGACCCTGGCTCTTTATATATATAGACTAGAGGCCCGGTGCACAAAAATTTGTGCACTGTGGGGGGGAGGGGGTGGTTGGGGAGCTCTCCCCATCAGGCACAGAGCAGGGCTGATCAGGGGGTTGGGGCGCCTTCCCCTGTCCCGAACAGAGCAGGGCAGATAGGGAGGTTGTGGCCCTGCCCCCTGTCACACGCCGAGCCGCAGGGCGACCAGGAGGTTTGGGCGCTGCCCCCTGTCATGCTTATCCCGGTGCCAGGCGGCCTCGTGGCTCTGCCGATCCCGGTGCTGGGCGGCATATTACCCTTTTGCTATATAGGATAGAGGCCTGGTGCATGGGGGGGGGCCAGCTGGTTTGCCCTGAAGGGTGTCCTGGATCAGGGTGGGGGTCCCCACTGGGGTGCCTGGCCAGTCTGGGTGAGGGGCTGAGGGCTGTTTTCAGGTTGGTGGGTGACTGAAGCTCCCAAATGCTCCTTTTTTTCTTTTTTTATTCTGGGCCAGCTTTAGCTCTGGTTCTAGCTCGAGGCTTCTGCTGCCGAAAGCAGGTATCTGGTTTGTTTTGGTTCTATAATCGAAACACTGTATCAACTCCAGCTCTGAGATCCCTGCGGGCTGAAAGCAGGTTTCTGGGGTTTTGTTTAGCTTCTATATTTGTAACAATGTTTCAAACTGCAGGCTCAGAGGCCGGCAAGGCAGGCGGGGAACGTTGGTTTCCTCTGTCACTGAAGCAAGCAAGCCTCATGTTAACTTCAAGTTGCCTGGCTGCCGGCCGCCATCTTGGCCGGCAGTTAATTTGCATATCGCCCTGATTAGCCATTGGGAAGGGTAGCGGACGTATGCTAATTACCATGTTTCTCTTTTATTAGATAGGATAGTTTTCAACTCCTTTGGGTAAATAGCAGGGAGAGTGACTGCTGGGTCACACGAGTCTGTTCAGTTTGGTTAGAGACCACCCAGCTGTCTTCCCAAGTGGCCGCGCCCCTGCCTTCCCCCCAGCAGTGAAGGGGAGCTCCCGCTGCCCCGCGTCCTCGCCGGCACTTGGTGGTGTCCGTGTCTGGGTGTTGGCCATTCTGATAGGTGGCAAGTGGAATCTCATTGTTTAATTTCCATTTCCCTGATGATGTAGGATGTGGAGCATTTTCTCATTTGCTTTTTTACTGTGTATGTCATCTTTGGTGAGGTTCTAGCAAGGTGTTTGCCCATTCCTTACCCAGTTGTCCATATTCTTATCGTTGAGTATTGGTTTTTTGTGTTCTGGATAACAGCCGTGTATCTTATGTGTCTTGGGCACATTTTCTCTCCTGTCTGTGGCTGCTCTTCTCAATCCCTTGGCCCTCTCTGCTGCTTACTGGCTCTGTGGTGTTCAGAAAGCCACTTAAACCCTGTGAGCCTGCGTGTCCTACTGCACTGAGGGGGCAAGAAAAAGAACACTTTTGGAAACTTAAATATGATAAAATCAATGTGAAGAGCTTGGCACAGGACTTTACCTTCATCATTGTTGCTATTTGGTCATGAAGGCTTCAGGGCTTATTCTCAATTCCTCTTTAAGAGGCAAGAGTAAACCTCGTATTCCGTTCTGGGAGTGGAATTGACATGGAACACTCTCACCTCTGCTGTTGGCACTGCCAACACCATTACTACCTCCAACTCCACCTTTACCTCCACCTCTAACACCAAATCACCTCCACCTCCATCACTGCCTCTATTACGACCTCCACCTCATCACCACCTCCACTTCCATCACCACCTCCACCTCATCACCACCTCCACTTTCATCACCACCTGCACGTCCACCTCCACCTCCATCACCACGTCTACCTCCACCTCCACCTTCATTTCCACCTCCACCTCCACCTTCCATCCATCACTACTTCCACCTCTGCCTCCGCCTCCACTACTATCTACATCACCACCTCCACCTCCACCTCCATCACCAGGTCCACCTCCACCTCCACCTCCACCTCCACCACCACCTCCACCTCTACCTCCACCTCCACCTCCATCACCACTTCCACCTCCACCTCCACCTCCATCACCACCTACCTCTCTACCTCCACCTCCACCTCCATCACCACTTCCACCTCCACCTCCATCACCACTTCCACCTCCACCTCCATCACCACCTTCACCTCCACCTTCACCTCCACTTCTATCACCATCCCCACCTCCATTACCACCTCCACCTCCATTACCACCTCCACCTCCATCACCACCTCTCCTCCATCACTACTTCCACTTCCGCCTCCGCCTCCACTACCACCTCTGCCCCCACTGCCATCGCCGCCTCCTCCGCTACCTCCATCACCATGACCTCCACCACCACTGTCACAACTATAACTGCATTCAACTAATATTTCTGGAACACCCGCAGTTACCCCAGCCCTATTCCAGTAGCTTGGATCCAATCAGATCTCATCAGCACCCCTCCCATCACAGTCACCGTTTCCTGTCTTGGTGGCTGGGAAACAATGTGGTCGGGAGGCCAGAGAATCCTGACAGCTGCAGGCACTGGATTCCTCCGCGAAGGGTCTCAGGGAGACTCCAAGGGACAAGACAAGGCTCTTTTGCTCACAATCCCCCCTTCACTCCACGCAGCGTCAGGTGTGCTCTGCTCCCCCCACACCTGCTTTTCCCAGGCAGACCTGTTGTAGGTGTGGAGCCCTCTGTGTGCCAGGAGGACTTGAAGCTTATGACACTGTTTGCCCCGGGCTCAGTGCCCAGGAGCCTGCGTTTTCACAAGGGTCTCAGGGTGGGTGCCCTCCTGGTGGCTTTGCTCCCAGGTCTAGCCAGTGGCCAAATGAAGCTGTCCTTTCCCCTCCCTGTGCCCCTGCAGACACACCAAGATGAAGACAGCTACCAACATTTACATCTTTAACCTGGCCCTGGCAGACACCTTGGTGCTGCTGACACTGCCCTTCCAGGGCACAGACGTGCTCCTGGGCTTCTGGCCATTTGGGAATGCCCTGTGCAAGATTGTCATTGCCATCGACTATTACAACATGTTCACCAGCACCTTCACGCTGACCGCCATGAGCGTGGACCGTTATGTAGCCATCTGCCACCCCATCCGTGCCCTCGATGTCCGGACGTCCAGCAAGGCCCAGGCTGTCAATGTGGCCATCTGGGCCCTGGCCTCTGTCGTCGGCATCCCGGTGGCCATCATGGGCTCAGCACAGGTCGAGGATGAAGGTCAGTCAGTGGTCCCTCCTCCCCAGGGCCATGCTCCCTGGCTCCACCTGACCCTGCTTCTCTCTCCACAGAGATCGAGTGTCTGGTGGAGATCCCTGCCCCGCAGGACTACTGGGGCCCCCTGTTTGCTGTCTGCATCTTCCTCTTCTCCTTCATCATCCCCGTGCTCATCATCTCCATCTGCTACAGCCTCATGATCCAGCGGCTGCGTGGTGTCCGCCTGCTCTCAGGCTCCCGAGAGAAGGACCGGAACCTGCGGCGCATCACGCGGCTGGTGCTGGTGGTGGTGGCAGTGTTTGTGGGCTGCTGGACACCTGTCCAGGTCTTCGTGCTGGTCCAAGGACTGGGAGTTCAGCCGGGCAGTGAGACGGCGGTAGCCATCCTACGTTTCTGCACAGCCCTCGGCTACGTCAACAGCTGCCTCAACCCCATCCTCTACGCCTTCCTAGATGAGAACTTCAAGGCCTGCTTCCGCAAGTTCTGCTGCACATCTGCACTGCGCCGGGAGGGGCCGGGGTCTGACCGTGTGCGCAGCATGGCCAAGGATGTGGCCCTTGCCCGCAAGACCTCAGAGATGGTGCCGAGGCCTGCATGACTAGGCGTGGACCTGCCCATGGTGCCCGTCAGCCCGCAGAGCCCGTCAACACCCAACACGGAGCTCACCCAGGTCACTGCTCTCTAGGCTGATGCACAACCTGACCCCTGAGTCTCACCAGACTCTGGGAGCTTCTCTGTGACCCCAAGGGCCTGATGACATCATGGGACCCATTGCTTAGGGCTGCCCCGTGGCCCCAGTCACACTAATCTGGGGGTGTGTGTGAACTCACCAATGAGTGAGCCTGGCCAGACCTCATGGACACACCCACGATTCATGGGACTCCAGGCCTCCCCGCTACTGCACCCGCGGGCCCCGGGTGGGCACATCTGGAGGCGGAACACATCTGGTGTGCAACCCGAGGGCCTGTGATGTGTGTGGGCTGCGTGAGGGCAGTGGGACTGGCCCAGAGCTGGGAGCTGCTGACGTGGACTTACCCGAGTGCCACTGGTGCCGCCTGCGAGTCCCCCACATCCACGTCCCTCCAGCCCTCAAGGAGCCTTTCCCTTCAGACGCTCAGTGAACTCATGCGCTGCAGCTGCGGGGCCACGTGTGCAGAGCTGGCTTGGGCTGCAGGGCGGGCAGGGCCACCGCAGGCTGCTCTGTCCGTCATTCGTGAAGTGGCCCTGTGTACCTGGTCTTGACTGCTTGATGCTGAGGGCCCCTGCCTGGGGCCCCTGTGCCCTCCTGGGGCTCTCTCCCTCACAGTCTCTCCTTTTCTTGAAATCAGATGTCCCCAGCTGTGCTGCTGGCAGGACCCTGTGCCCTCCTTGGGTCTGGGTGGCCTTGAAAGAGTGGCAGTTAGGATGGGTTTTGCTCTGCACTGGCAGTGACTGACCTATTGCCTCATTTCCAAGCCTCCGGTGTCTATGGGGAGGCCTGAACTTTTGGTGCCAAACCAGAGGGTAGTTTCACCTTGGGAGCTGGTGAGAGGTGGGGCTTGGCAGGGCCTGCTTGAGTGATGCTGTGAGAACCGTCTGGGCTGTGGGGCACCGGTAGGGGTGTCTCCCTAGTGTGGTCACCAGAGAAGCCCCCACCTGCCCCAGCCTGAAGATGGAAGCTGGAGCTTGGTGACTTTGCAAATAGCCCTGCAACATTGAAAAGATGATTTTGCCTCCACCTGTGAGCTGAGCTGCAGCCCTGGGCCCGGTGACTTAAGCCCCTGGGAAGCAAGGACCTGCGACTGGCTGCGGCACCCTGGCCCTTGAGGCTGAGCGCTTTCTTGCTGAGACAGAGACTCATGAACTTGTGCCTGTGCCCCCTGTGCCCGTGTACTTACACATGTGCCAAGTGAGCCCTGCCTGCGACCCGCCCGAGCCTCTCCTGCCCCTCCCTCTAGGCCCACTCCTCCTGGTGGCGTTTCTGACTCCTGCAGGGTGGGCTGTTGGGGTAACTTCTCTGGGATTAGCATGTGTGGTCCTCCCACTGGCTTTGAGCTCCTCACCAGTCCTCCCCGCCCCCCCTGCCCCGCTCCAATGTTGGGAAGGGGTGCGACTAGTTCATGTGTTGGGGCTGTTACCTTTTATTCAGGACAAATAGTTTCTCCATGAACAACAGCCTGCTTCTCTCTCTCTCCTGCAGTGGGAGGTTCCCTGGGGATCCAGTGTGTGGGGTGGGCTCCTCCCACATGGGTATGGCTTCTCAGCACCCCAGCCCTGCTCTCCTTCCTGGAGCAGCTCTGAGGGGTGTGAGGGTGACCATGGGCTGAAGTGCTTGGTCAAGGCCAGCGGGCCAAGGTGCAGTTTTACACGTTTCAATGACCGGCACTCTGCTCTTAAAATAAACATTTAGCATCAAGGGAAAGTGTGGGAGGAACAGGCAGTTAGGCAAAGGGCACTTGAGTGGTGTGTCCACAGGCTGTGTGTCCAGGGCGACTCCACAGAGACTCCACTGACCAGCAGGGAGCACTGGGCCAGGCAGGCGTGAGGGGTGGGCAGTGCCAGGGGATCTCCAAAGTGGGCCATCCCCCCCAGCTATCCAGGGCTGAGCCCTGTCTGCACTCCTGGCCCTACCTCCAACCCTGATCCCCCAGGCTCCACCCACCCCTACCTCCCCCCACATTCAATCGACAGCTCTCCCACCTTCAATCCTTGTCCCACCCCCTTCCCCATTATAGTTCTGATCTCCCCACATTCACCTCCATCTCAAGCCCCACCCCCTAGCCCCCCAAACCGCCTGTCTCCAGGCTGCAGCCCCAGCCCCTGGTCTGGTCTCTGGGCTCCTCTAAGTGCCCCTTTCTCAGTTGAGCCCAAAGGTTGACCCTCCCCTTCGGGGCTGTGGGGGTGGCCCAGCCTTGGGAAAGGGAGCTGTGGACCCACCCACTTGGAGCTTGCCCGTCAGGGCTGCTGTGGCTCTGGTATGCCTTGCCAAGGGGTGAGCCGGGTGTTGCTGACTGGGGTCTGGGCAATGGCTGTGGTATTTGGGGACCAGAAGGGGAGGGCCGGCTTCTCCCAGGGACCAGGAGCCCAGAGCATGGGCACCGTCCCTGTCCGTGCCTATGCCCATCTCAGGGAGTCACTGTGGAGGTGGGAGACCAGCATCTGTAGGGAGATGGCATTCTCCTTCCGGGCCAGCAACGCCCTGGGGTAGGAATCTGGAGAGGGTTTACCTGCCCCTGCATCAGGGCTGGCCCGAGGCTCCCAGGTCCTGGGTCTCCCTGCTGTTGGGTATGGGGGGGGCGGGGTCCATGTGCCTTGGCTGTGTCTGACCACCTGGTCCCCGTCCTGGGGGATGTGCTCTCCTGTGGAGCTAGGGCAGGTCCTGAGTGACAGAGGGAGAGGCTGGTGGGCACCGCTCTGCTGTGGCTAGAGGGCAGCTGGGGGGGGTGGGGGGCGGGGGGGAGTCACACCCGGGACCCCTCCCCCGCACTCCTGCTTCACTGCCTCTGCCTGTTCACTCCCCATCTGTGCTCACACTACCTCTGTCCTTCACCTCACAACTGCTCTCTTGGCGTCTTGGGGTCTCGGGGCCTCCCCTCCAGGACCTGGGGGGCACAGGATGTGAGAATCACGCTGTTGCCTCAGGTGTGACTGTGGCGCAAGAGGGAGAGGGCAGAGAGTGGGTGTCAGTGGCGGTTAAAAAAGTGTCCACAGCCCGCAGGTGGGCCAGCCTTAGTGATGAGCTTCCAGTGGAGAGAATGGGGCTCCTCCTGGCCCTCTTCATTGCTGGCCCTGGGGAACCTTGCCGTTGTGCCGCCCAAGCAGCCCTGGGAGGGCATCTGGACTGGAGCCTCCGGAAGCTGCTCTCAGGTTCCGGACCCAAAGGCACCCAGGCAGGCGCCCCTGGGAGGCACTGCTGTGCCAGGCAGCGCCGTAAAGCGTCTCAGTCTTCGGTTTCACAGGCCTAACAGTTAGGGTGCGCCCGACTGGAGTCTGTTAGTGCACAAGCAATGCCCAACCAGCGATGTCCAGGCCTCACCGACAAACACTGCAAGCCCGGGAATTCAGTCACTGTCGAAGCCTTCAGTGACTTGCCTCGTTTTGCTCGACCCACCGCGTAGAGCGAGCTCCCGGAGGCTGCACACAGCAGTGTCCTGCCGCAGGAGGGACCGTGTTGTCTCCGGCTGAGAGAGGGCGTGGGCCTGAGCTCTTCGGGACTCAGACATGCCAGGACCATGTGACCCAGGAAGCTGAAGGACAAGTTGGGTGAGGAGTCAATCCTGCACCCCAGGGGCCACCTCAGAGGATGGCAAATAGTGGGTCCTGAGTACCAGCTGGACGGACTGCGGGGACCGTGGCATGAGGACCACAGGCACCTGTGCACCTGGGGGAGCAGGGTCACTGGGAGGTGCTGGGCGACGCAGAACAGTCAGGCTGTGCCCGTGTGGAGCAGCTGGGAGCACAGCGCCAGGCCACCGCGTGGTCCTCAGGGACTGCCCCCTTCCACCTGGGAGACGCTCTGAGCAGCCTGGAGGCCGTGTCCCCACCTGACCTGGTGCTGCCGAGGCCCCAGGCCACACCTGGGAGGAGAGGGTCAGATGCCAGCCTGGCCAAATGGCCGATGCCCCGTCTGGACTGTGGGGCCCAAAGGGCCACAGGCTGCTGCTGGGAGGGCTCCCAGGTGCGTGGCCACGGCAGGAGGGCTCGGGTGCCAGAGCCACAGTGGGAGCGGAGGGAGCATGGGCACGTGAGAGTGTGTTTTGTGGCCTCAATTTGAAGTGCATGATGGTTGCTGATGGAGGGAGGCATGCTCAGCCTGGGACCTCACCCTGGACCCTGCTGCGCCCCGGCCTCCGCAGGGGAGCTGCCCCGGCCCCGCCCCGGCCCTGTGCCCGCGGACTCCCTGCCGGTCTGTGTGACGCAGCCTGGTGCTGTCCCACGGTGCGGCAGGCCCGGGCTGAGCAGGGTCTCCCCTCTGTCCAGGGCTCATGAGATGGGGTGCTCTTGCTGCCACCTCGCAGCTGCTGGGCGAGGGTGGGGTGGGCTCTGCTCCGAGTCCTGCTGGTGGCTCTGTCTGAGGGACTGAGACAGAGAAGTGAGTGATGACCAGGGTCCAGGAACCCACTTTTCCCGGCCCCTTTCATCACGCGTCCGGTGAGACACGTCTCTGTCCTCCCTGCCTCAGCCTCCTGGCCGGGGTCTGGGACCCCCTGTGGGCTGAGAGGCTGGCACACAGTGGAAGCAGTTTTCTGCAGGAGAGGAAGACCTGGCAGAAGCAAGTTTCAGTCTTGGGGTTACCATAGCGATGCAGGCCTCCCACATAGATGTGGGCGTGGTGTCCGTGCCTGTGCCGGTGTGTGTGGAACCACAGGGCATCGCAGGGCTGGCACTGACACAGGTCAGAGCTCCACTGCCGTGCCTGGGACCTCAGTCTCCATCAAGGTCCAAAATGCGGTCTGCACAGGGTGTGGGTGGGCCTTGGCCTGGCCTCCTGGTGGGTCCTGCAGCGTCTGTGGGGACAGTCCCGAGTCCTGGGCCCGTGGCCACCATTGCTTTTGGTGCCTGGGAAGGACAGAGGTTTGAACCTAGACTGGCACCCCCACCCACCCAATTTTGGCCTCAGTGTGTCATCAAGCCGTGACATCAGCCGGTAACAGAGAGATGGGCCTGCAGCCTGGGGCGCCGCCTGCACTGTGAGCTCCTCTGTACGAATGTGGAGTCAGCAGTGCTGGCACCGTGTGACAGGTCAGGGGTCAGGTGCCAGGTGGGGCCAGGCCACCTTGGGAACGGAGTCCGGTCAGTGTGGGAGACCCTGGTCAGCAGGGGCTGTGGCACCAGGAGGTGGCCACTGGCTGGAAGTGAGCCTATATTGCGCAGGCAGGGCCTCCGGGCCCTCTTCCAGGAGGCCCTGTGGATCAGTTCTGTCCAGCTGGAGCAGCTCTTGCCCCAGGGGGAGAGATAGCAGGGTCCCCTCCTGCCTCCCGCCTCCTGCCTCCGCCGCACGGTTCTGCACAACACAGCCCAAGCCTGACTCCCAGTGGCCAGTTCTGAGCACTGCAGCAGGGAGGCCGGAGAGTTGGCCTAGCAGGTGACTGGGGGGCCAGGCCTAGCGCCGCTTCCTGAAGAATAACCTGGAAACACCCAAAAGAGCTGTAGGTCGTGGCTTGTGGACTTGCTGGTCTGTGGGCTCTGAGGGCTCTGGATTTGATGTTTGTAACTCTGGAGGCTTGTCTGTGATGGGCCTGCCCCAATGGGAGTCAGGGCAAGGTGGCCTCTGGGGTGAGTAGGGGGGCGGGGAGGTGAGGAACAGGGGAGGGAGGGAGAGAGGCCGCTGGGAGAACTGTGAGCATTTTTGGGAGGGGGAGGCCTGAAGGCAGGAGGCTGCACTGGGAGGGGCTGCAGTGGGACTCTAGCTGGGGGGTTGGGGGGGCTCAGAGCACTTTGGACAGAGGAGCAACATGGCCATGTTTGTGTATCCAAATAGTCATTCTGGCTGCTGGATGGAAGGTGGACAGAAGCACCGAGGCTGCAGCAGGGGGTCAGTGGGGCCTGGAGCCAGGGACCCAGCCTGGTGGGGGAGGGCACTAGCAGAGAATGTGGGGCCAGCTGGTACGTGGTGGTGAGTTGGGGAGCAGTTATGGATGCCAGCCTTCCTGAGGCAGAAGGTGGTTGGAGCCTGGATGATGTGGTGATGGGGGTCTGTGGGGGGCTCAATAGTTCTCAAGGCGTCAGACTAGCCTGGGCCCCTGGGAAGGCCTCAGCCATCTCCCTGACCAGCGAGGCAGGCAGTGTGGGGTCAAACCCCACACCTCGAAATAGCAGAGGAGAGGGTCTGGAACCTTTTGAGGACGGAGAGGTGCTGGGCAGTGGGCGTTGCCTGGAGACCAGGGCATATGGATGAGGCGGGAGCCCAGGGAGCCCAGGGTGAGGCCCGAGGAGCTTTGGAGACCTGAGAGCTGTCATCCTGGAGGGGGCGCCTCTGGGCCGGGCACACACGTGTGTGTAGTGTGTGCATGCGCACATGCAGGCGTGCTGTGTGGATGCCGGTGCCTGCGTGCACCTGTGCATGTGCGCTGGGCTGATCTTCTCTGCTCCTCTTGTTTCTCCTTCAGGCCATTCTTGGCAGCCAGAGCGAGTTTCCTAACACCCATCAGGGTCATGTCATTTTTCTCTCGAAAAGCCTTAAAAAAACTCATTTCAATATGGATGAATGAAATGACGTGGTCACGGCTGGGGTTGACTCAAGGTGACCCTGTGGCTGTGGGCAAGTGCAGACAGCCAGGGTAGCCAGAGCCATCTTTGCTGGGCCCAGGGGTGCCCATGGCACCTGGGCTCTCTCTACCTGTGTGTATGTTAGAAATTCTGTCAGAATAAATTGCAAAAGACTTTGCATGTGAAAAAAAAAATTAACTTGGTGTCCTGTTGGCTTGCCCTTCCAGATTTCCTGTCTTTCATTATTTTTGAACTATTTTAATGCTCTGCTTGCAGAAAATGGATAGTAATGCAAACAATTCTTCACAGAAATGCAAATCAGTTTTGTCCGGTGGAAAGCAGTTGAAGACTGCCTTTGGGTCTCGACTAGCTCTGCACCTACTGACAAAGGGTTTCAGGACTCCTGGCTGCCCGCGTGTCTCTTGTGGTCCCATTCTCCTGGGACCTGGGCTGTGACAGTCCTGCTTTCTTCATTAACCAGTGCGGTGGTTGAATTGTAGCTCCCAAAAGACATGTTGAAGTCCTAACCCAGGACCTGTCGTGGGACCTTGCTTGGAAGTCAGGTCTTTGCAGGTACGGTTACTGATGGTGAGGTCGCACTGGAGTCCTCATAAGAAGCAGGAGATCTGGGCCCGACACCGATGACAGAGGAAGAACAGCAGGCTGATGCGGGGCGATGAGGACTCCTGGGCCCGGAGCTGGAAGGCTTGTCCCCTAGAGCCTTGGAGGGAGCACGACCTGCCCACATCTGTGTGTTTTTTTTTAAAATATTTCTTTATTGATTTCAGAGAGGAAGGGAGAGGGAGAGATAGAAACATCAATGATGAGAGAGACTCATCGATTGGCTGCCCCCTGCAGGTCCCCCACTGGGGATCAAGCCCACAACCCAGGCATGTGCCCTTGACCGGAATCGAACCTGGGACCCTTCAGTCCACAGGCTGACGCTCTAT